AACACAGGCATCGAATCTGAAGGTCGACTCAACACGAAGATGATAAGAAAATCCGACCTCGCCGTTGGTCATCTGTTTCAAACAAACAGGCATCGAACCCGAAGGCCGGCTCAACACGAAGATGAGAAGAAAATCTTACCTCGTGTCAGTCATCTTTTTCAAACAAATAGGGATCGAACCCGAAGGGTGACTCAACACGAAGCTGAGAAGAAAATCTGACCTCGGCGTCAGTCATCTGTTATAAACAAATATGCATCAAACCTGAAGGCTGGCTCAACACAAAGCTGAGCAGAAAATTTAACCTCGCCGTCAGTCATCATTTTCAAACAAGCAGGCTTCGAACCAGATGGCCGGCTCAACACGAAGCTGAGAAGAAAATCTCACCTCGCTGCCGTCATCTATTTCAAAGAAACAGGCATCAAACCAGAATGCTGGTTCAACACGAAGCTGAGCAGAAAATCTGACCTCACCATCAGTCATATGTTTTAAACACAGGCTTCGAACCCAAAGGTCGACTCAACACGAAGATGATAAGAAAATATGACCTTGCCATCAGTCATCTGTTTCAAACAAACATGCATCGAACCCGAAGGCCGGTGAACACGAAGTTGAGAAGAAAATCTAACCTCACCGTCAATCATCTTTTTCAAAAAAATCGGTATCTAACCCGAAGGCCGAATCAACATAAAGATGAGAAGAAAATCTGACTTCGCTGTCAGTCATTTGTTTCAAACAAACAGGCATCGAACCCGAAGGCCGGCTCAACACGAAGCTGAGAAGAAAATCTGACCTCATCGTCAGTCATCTGGTTCAAATAAATAGGGATCGAACCCGAAGGGTGGCTCAACACGAAGCTGAGAAGAAAATATGACCTCGCCGTCAGTCATCTGTTTCAAACAAATAGGCATCAAACCTGAAGGCTGGCTCAACTCGAAGCTGAGCAGAAAATATGACCTCGCCGTCAGTCATCATTTTCAAACAAACAGGCATCGAACCAGACGGTCGGCTTAACACGAAGTTGAGAAGAAAATGTCACCTCACTGCCGTCATCTATTCCAAAAAAACAGGCATCAAACCAGAGCGCTGGTTCAACACGAAGCTGAAAAGAAAATCTGACCTCGCAGTCAGTCATATGTTTTAAACACAGGCATCGAATCCGAAGGTCGACTCAACACGAAGATGATAAGAAAATCTAACCTCGCCGTCGATCATCTGTTTCAAACAAACAGGCATCGAACTCGAAGGTCGGCTCAACACGAAGATGAGAAGAAAATTTGACCTTGCCGTCAGTCATCTGTTTCAAACAAATAGGGATCGAACCCGAAGGGTGACTCAACACGAAGCTGAGAAGAAAATCTAACCTCGCCGTCAGTCATCTGTTTCAAACAAATAGGCATCAAACCTGAAGGTTGGCTCAACACGAAGCTGAGCAGAAAATCTGACCTCGCCGTCAGTCCTCATTTTCAAACAAACAGGCATCGAACCAGACGGCCGGCTCAACACGAAGTTGAGAAGAAAATATCACCTCGTTGCCGTCATCTATTTCAAAAAAACAGGCATCGAACCCGAAGTCCGACTCAACATAAAGATGATAAGAAAATCTGACTTCACTGTCAGTCATCTGTTTCAAACAAACAAGCATCGAACCCGAAGGCCGGCTCAACACGAAGCTGAGAAGAAAATCTGACCTCACAGTCAGTCATCAGTTTCAAATAAATAGGGATCGAACCCGAATGGTGGCTCAACACGAAGCTGAGAAAAAAATATGACCTCGTCGTCGGTCATCTGTTTCAAACAAACAGGCATCGAACCTAAAGACCGGCTCAACACGAAGCTGAGAAGAAAATCTAACCTCGTCGTCCGTCATCTGTTTCAAACAAACATGCATCGAACCTGAAGGCCGGCTCAACACGAAGCTGAGAAGAAAATCTGACCTTGCCGTCAGTCATATGTTTGAAACAAACAGGCATTGAACCCGAAGGCCGGCTCAACACGGAGCTGAGAAGAAAATCTAACATCGCCGTCAGTCATCTGTTTCAAACAAATAGGCATCGAACCCGAAGGTCGGCTCAACACGAAGTTGAGAAGAAAATATGACCTCGCCGTCAGTCATCTGTTTCAAACAAATAGGCATCAAACCTGAAGGCTGGCTCAACTTGAAGCTGAGCAGAAAATATGACCTCGCCGTCAGTCATCATTTTCAAACAAACAGGCATCGAACCAGACGGTCGGCTTAACACGAAGCTGAGAAGAAAATGTCACCTCGCTGCCGTCATCTATTCCAAAAAAACAGGCATCAAACCAGAGCGTTGGTTCAACACGAAGCTGAAAAGAAAATCTGACCTCGTAGTCAGTCATATGTTTTAAACACAGGCATCGAATCCGAAGGTCGACTCAACACGAAGATGATAAGAAAATCTGACCTCGCTGTCGATCATCTTTTTCAAACAAACAGGCATCAAACTCGAAGGCCGGCTCAACACGAAGATGAGAAGAAAATCTGACCTTGCCGTCAGTCATCTGTTTCAAACAAATAGGGATCGAACCAGAAGGGTGACTCAACACGAAGCTGAGAAGAAAATTTGACCTCGCCGTCAGTCATCTGTTTCAAACAAATAGGCATCAAACCTGAAGGTTGGCTCAACACGAACTTGAGCAGAAAATCTGACCTCGTCGTCAGTCCTCATTTTCAAACAAACAGGCATCGAACCAGACGACCGGCTCAACACGAAGCTGAGAAGAAAATATCACCTCGTTGCCGTCATCTATTTCAAAAAAACAGGCATCGAACCCGAAGGCCGACTCAACATAAAGATGAGAAGAAAATCTGACTTTGTTGTCAGTCATCTGTTTCAAACAAACAGGCATCGAACCCGAAGGCCGGCTCAACACGAAGCTGAGAAGAAAATCTGACCTCACCGTCAGTCATCTGTTTCAAATAAATAGGGATCGAACCCTAAGGGTGGCTCAACACGAAGCTGAGAAAAAAATCTGACCTCGTCGTCGGTCATCTGTTTCAAACAAACAGGCATCGAACCTAAAGACCGGCTCAACACAAAGCTGAGAAAAAAATCTAACCTCGTCGTCCGTCATCTGTTTCAAACAAACATGCATCGAACCCGAAGGCCGGCTCAACACGAAGCTGAGAAGAAAATCTGACCTTGTCGTCAGTCATATGTTTGAAACAAACAGGCATTGAACCCGAAGGCCGGCTCAACACGGAGCTGAGAAGAAAATCTAACTTCGCCGTCAGTCATCTGTTTCAAACAAACAGGCATCGAACCCGAAGGTCGGTTCAACACGAAGTTGAGGAGAAAATATGACCTCGCCGTCAGTCATCTGTCTCAAACAAACAGGCCTCGAACCCGAAGGCCGACTCTACATGAAGCTGAGAAGAAAATCTGACCTCGCCGTCAGTCATCTGTTTCAAACAAATAGGCATCGAACCCGAAGGCTGGCTCAACATAAAGATGAGAAGAAAATCTGACCTTGATGTCAGTCATCTGTTTCAAACAAATAGGCATCAAACTCGAAGGCCGACTTAAAACGAAGTTTAGTAGAAAATCTGACCTCGTCGTCAGTCATCTGTTTCAAACAAATAGGCATCGAACCCGAAGGTCGGCTCAACACGAAGCTGAGAAGAGAATCTGACCTCGCCATCGGCCATCTATTTCAAACAAACAGGCATCGAACCCGAAGGTCGGCTCAACACGAAGCTGAGAAGAAAATCTGACTTCGCCGTCAGTCATCTGTTTCAAACAAACAGGCATCGAACCCGAAGGCCGGCTCAACACGAAGCTGATAAGAAAATCTGACCTCGCCGTCAGTCATCGTTTTAAGACAAACAGGCATCGAACCAGACGGCCAGCTCAACACGAAGCTGAGAAGAAAATATCACTACAAGAAAAACGATGGATTGCAACGGCTATTTTGGCAGGTTACGACGGTTAAAACCACCACCAATTACATTCTACGACGGTTGTAGTACCGTCGCAGAAACGTGTGTCCCTAGGCTGTTTAGCGACGGTTGAAAAAACCGTCACCCACAACCGTCGTTATATTTCACGACGGGCTTAAACTGACCTAAACTGGAGATAGCGACGGTTAAAGACCGTCATTACTAGCCTTTTGATTTTTATTTTCATTGTTGATTGTGACGATTTAAAACTGTCGTGAACTCTATTTCACGACTGGTTGGAACTGACATAAATTAGAAATGACAACAGTTAAATACCGTCGTGAATATCCTTTTGATTTTTGTTACCATTGTTGATTGTGACGGTTTAAAACTGTCGTGAATATGATAATATCTTGACGATTCAAATTATCGTAATTTGATTTATAAAATTTTAAATATAATTTATTTGATAACGGTTTAAAGCACAACTAATTATTTAATTTATACATTTAGCAACAATTTAAATCATTATTAATTTATATGTATTGTATTATATTATTTTATAATATATTATTGGTAGTATATTTTACATAGCCTTACAAGTGCCACTTGAATTAAGATAATTTTCTTTTTTCATTCTTTCAGTGCATTTATGCTGCTGCAAATAATAACAATGTGATATCATAGCATTAACTAAGGGTAAACTGTATACACTATGGCCAAGAATAGTTGAAAATTAAAATGATATACACTTCAATATTATCAGATCTTCCTAGTTGTGATCAATGACATTTATCATTTAATGTACCAAATCAAAAATCTAGAAAGAAAAAAAATAAGACATACATAATCTATCTATATATACACAGTTTACACTTCGGAATTGCTACCGCCTCATGCTTATTGCTATTTACAATAATCTATCTATATATACACACCTTGCTTTTCCCAATTATCACCTAAATTCAGTGCCTTTCTGATTTTAGCACTACACATTATTCTCATTCACCTTCTATTACAAGATTGTTTGTTGCTAAAGATAGACAATACTAAAAGCTTTGAACCAAAATTTATTTTGTCTCCCGCTACAGGTATATTCTACATGGAGCCACAACCTCTTCAAACCAACACTAATGAAACTACTAGTGCCCAAAGTTCCTCTGCTTATGATATTATCCGTAGACTTACCTGGACATTCGTTTTGCTCTTTCTTCTTTTAACTCTTATCATTGCAATAGCATGGAATGTCATGGACCCTCATAAACCTCAATTTCGAGTCAGCACAATCTCTGTTACCAATTTCAGTGTCTCTGTTTCAGAGCTCAAAGGTGTGTTTGAGGTTGAATTAAACATAACAAATCCCTTGTTGATATGCAATCGATGATTGTGGCTTATTAATCCATGACTTATCCATTCCTTCACAAAATAGACAGATACAACAGTAAGTTCAAAACAAATCCTATCAAAACAAACAAACACTCTAAATACAAATATTACAGCAACAGAATCAGATGCCATTGATTTGTATTGATTCATTCTTTTTTACAAATTATTATTAAATAAAGTTTATGCTACTCTAAACTCAATCGCATCGGAACCAGCTACTCTAAAGTAAAAGTTAGTAAAAAACAATTTCTAAGACATTTGAATTTTCTAAGACATTTGCAAAACTTCAAAAAGTGTCTCAATAAAAAAACCAAATTCTACGACATGAATTTTCTAACACTTGTGGGTCCGAAACCGAACACGCCCAGTGTTTCATACTTATACAAGAGATTTTCTATGCTCTCCCACAAACACATCAAAAAGAAAAATGGTTACAAATTCCATAATTCAAACTACTCCACTACCAACCTTAATCTTCTCTTTCATTATTTGCATAATCATATCTCAAACCATAGCAGATTCACAACTTGCTTATGGCTACACAATCACCACTGTAACCAATAACCCCACATCAAATTCTTTTACTGCTAACCTTAAACTCATCAAACCCTCCTCTGTCTTTAGAAAATAGTAACTAGAGTGAAAAAAAACTGTAGAATTTTATAAATAAAAATGAAAACCATAGAAAATTAAGAGTTGGGTAGAAAATGAGGACACCATGCAGTAGATCTAATATTTCTAACGTGATAAAATTAAATGAACAAAAAAATTGTCTCCGCATACTAAAAAAAGACATTTTTGAGATATTAAACTCGGGTACAGGTATCATAATCATCACAAATAGCTTGAAAGAAAAGAGAAATGTAAGCCTTGGTACCAAACATAGAAAGAACACGATATAAATATAGAGAATCTTACCAGCAAGAACCGACAACCAATTCAAAAAAGGCAAAGACTTTCCAAATTGTTGATCCCACCACTCAGCACCTGCAGTAAAATATTAAGTTACAATATGCATTGGATTTTAAGCATGTATAACATAATAACAAAAACTCAATGAAAGGGCGTACCAACGACAACAGTGAAAAAGTGAGCAAAGTATATTATCATAAGACCCTCCGTAGGTCCGTTTACAACAGGAAGTATAAGTGTATTGGTGAAATAGCTGCATCCAAAACAACATTTAAAAGAAAATCAATATCACTATAATGTCTAAAAGTAGTATATACATAGATTATGGTATTAAAGTTTACAATCATGCTAAATTGTCGGTGCAATAGATGCATGCTAGAGAATCAGATGCATTTTATTCAAATAGGACACTATAAACAAGACAAAAACATATGATCATTTTTCCTAAAAATCTTATAAAAACAGATGATTATATTTCATCCTTTATTTGATAGAAAAGATAGTTAAAAAAATCTTATGCTTCGCAGAGTGCAACGTGAAATACTCGAACCCTTTTTTAGATACACATACTAATTAAGCGCTTATCATTATTCGTAATTGGTATTTTTCTGGTGTATCTTGCATAGGCCATTCTTATTCTTGAGAATAGAAGCACATATCTTAAATTCAGAAGTTCCAGAAATTATGTCGTGCAGCAACAAGACTTTAATATATTTTATATTTATATGCAGGTAAGGCACATGCTGAATGATCGCAAGAAGCTGCGTAAGGTGATAGATCCAGATATGGCTCAAAATTCTTACACCATTCAGTCTATAGTCATGTTTGCCAATCTGACATCAAGATGTGTACGAACTGAAAGTAATGAGCGGCCTTCAATGGCAGATTGTGTAAAAGAGATCCAAATGATTATCTATACAAATTCAAAAGGCTTGGGAATGGTTATGCATAGTTTGAGACTGATCTAATGACACCATAAGTTTAGACGCCAGAATTATGGTGATTTCTTGTTGAAAATAAACAGAGTGAAGTATGTTTGGTACTTTTCCATATATATACACCAGACCAATTAATAATAGTATTTTGCACAATTATGTACAAAGATAACTAACTTAATGATCTTACAATTTAGGACAATTGAAACAATCCTTTTCTATTCTTATTTTTGCTCTTTCGAAGGACCTGATTAATAACAGTAGGAAAAGGAAGTCTGGAAAGCTCCTTCATACTAGGCAACGTTACAAAATTGTTTCCGTCTAAATTTAATTCTTCTAGCTAATGTAAACGTCTAATTGAATCGGGGAGTTTTGCAATCTTTCAAATTCAAGAAAATAAGCTTTTTTAGAAGCCCAATAAAAGGATCCATCTGCACCAACTTTACACATCCATTAAAACTTAATCACTTAAGATTTGGGATATATCTAAAACCTGACATCTTATAATATTGTTTGAGATACCTATATAAACTTTCATTACAATATATTGTTTGTGTTATGTACAGGTGTTAAGGCTAATGGACTTGTATGCAAGATAGAATCAAATGTAACAGCAGTTGATTTCTTTTTCGACAGTTTAGTGAAACTTAAAGCTATCAACAACACAGTGGGATCTTTGGTTACTGCAACCAATGTTGACAAAATTCCAGGGCTTAACACATTAGGAGTGAAGTCTTTGTTTTTCTAAAAGGTTTGGTGCATTATCAGAAGAGCAGTGGAGATAAACCTTCTTCTGTGATTTCTGCTTTTAACAGTCAACTTCCTGGTACTTTTTCAACTGCTTCAGCTCTGTTTGGATCAATAACAACTGTTCCTGATGATGTTCTTGTTCAGGTTGGATCAGATTGATACTAAATAGGTTGATGAAATTAAGACCAAACCTTATCCTAAGAAGACTTAATGTGTATGATATTCAAGAGAGGAATTCCAAATGAATAACTACCGACCAATTATAAGTAATGATTTGAATTTCAATATTATAAGTAATGATTTGAATTATAAGTAATTATAAGTAATGATTTGAATTTCAATATTGATAAAGTTCTTATGTACTACCAACCAATTATAGTTTTTTGTAAGCAGCAAAAGAAATTACATTAACAAAAGGCATAAGCAATGCCAAGGGAAAACATATCACCAAAAATTCCCTATAACAGAGATCTGCAGAAACAAATATAAACTGCTAAAGCAGCCTACCCAATTAACCAGTATCAAAAACCCCTGCATCTGATACTAAAAGGAAATACAAAAAAATACTAACAATAATGCACAAAAATACAACCCAACCACCCCGCTAGACCCAATATAAATTGTTGGCTCTGCTTTGAAGATATCAGAATCTCATTTCGATATCACTACGCACCCGAACAACAACTCCGGACAGAAACCAAAGTGCAATAAATAAACAATAAAATACAGGATCACATGAAAAATAACATGTGCATAAAAAAAAGTTAAGAGTATTTTACTATATTAAGAAAACCACAAAAGGATCAACTAATACATGATCACATGAAAAATAACATGTGCATAATAGTGCATATTTATAGCTTTTCTATTATCAACCTATTACAAACAACAACAACACTCACATTTTCACAATTTGAATCTTCATAATTCAATATCATTTCACGTTTCCAACAATTCCTCAAAATCAAAACCAATTACCCAACCCCAAACTACAGTAATAACAACTAGAAACACTTCTTCTAACAACAAAAACCCTAACAAGGGAAAATTCCAAACCAATGCCTAAAAACTCACTCCTCAAAACCTAGCATCATCCACGTTAAAATCAACACAAAAATATAACAAACAATCGACAATAATGCTAAAAATAGAAAAAAAAATCACAAAACCCTACATTTTGACAAGCCTTGATTCAGAAGCAAATAAGTAACTTATGTAAGCTTATGATAGACTAACCTTTTTCCCCTTCACATCGAGAATCTAAGAAGTTCAGAGAAGCATACAGTTTTCGTCTTCACGGCGAGAAGCAAAGAAGTTCAAAGAAGCAAACCAAAATCATATATTTCTCCAATTATTCGGCGCACTTAAAAAGTTGAGAGACAAAATTGAAGGACGACGGTTGAAATTCCTGTGTCGTAGCTTCAGCACGAGGGTAGTTTATATCAATTGTCGCGCCGCTATGAACAATTTGGATGGTTTAAAGGTGATAGAGGTTGAAATTCATGTTGTAGCTAAGGGTTAACGACGATTGAAATTCGTACAGCACCACCGTCGCGAAATTTTTTTAAGACTTTGTTTTGAACCTTCGTGTAATGGGAGGAAATTTTATTATTTTTTAAAAATTAATTAGTGAATAAAAGTGAAAAGCGGTAAAAATAAAATAATTAAGAAAAAATGTAATTATTATTAATATTATTATAATAATTACTAAATAAAAGTGAAAAGGCATAAAAATAAAATAATTAACGAAAAAATAAGAAAATAAAAGAATAAAAAATGTAACGAGATTGGTTAAAGTAGTCGCGACAGTTAGTTTTAACGGTCGCGATTGTTAAATGAGGGCGGTTCTTTGGTAACTGTCGCAATTATGTTATTTAACATGTTTAGAAAATCTGTGACAGTTAGCTCTAACTGTCGTGACAACTGTCGCAATTTAGGAATAAGGACGGTTTCGTAGGAACTGTCGTAACTCATGTGTCGTAAATCTCTTTTTTTCTTGTAGTGTATCACCTCGCTGCCGTCATCTATTTCAAAAAAACAGGCATCACACCAGAACGCTGGTTCAACACGAAGCTGAGAAGAAAATCTGACCTTGCCATCAGTCATATGTTTTAAACACAGGCTTCGAATCCGAAGGTCGACTCAACATGAAGATGATAAGAAAATCTGACCTCACCGTCGGTCATCTGTTTCAAACAAACAGGCATTGAACCCGAAGGCCGGCTCAACACGAAGATGAGAAGAAAATCTGACCTCGCCGTCAGTCATCTGTTTCAAACAAATAGGGATCGAACCCGAAGGGTGACTCAACACGAAGCTGAGCAGAAAATCTGACCTCGCCGTCAGTCATTTGTTTCAAACAAATAGGCATCAAACCTGAAGGTTGGCTCAACACGAAGCT